TGTGTGTGTGTGTGTGTGTGTGTGTGTGTGTGTGTGTGTGTGTGTGTGTGTGTGTGTGTGTGTGTGTGTGTGTGTGTGTGTGTGTATGACAAGGCGACCCCCCCCTCGGTGCCCGCTGGAGGGTGGCGGTGCAATGGCAATACCACATCGCGTCACGCGGACTTCAGAAATAAGAGTTACTCCTCATCGGTTCCCGTGTCGCCCCTGAAGCCTTCAGACACTCTTCCAATTTTATTTTATTTTTTACCAGCCGTGGCCCAGGGGGTTCGCGGGAAATGTTCCCAGGAAGGCGGGGGCGGGAAGAGGGGTATTCCTTGGGTGTAGTCTGCGACTCCTGAGCGTCTCCTGGTATGCGTGTGCCTAGTAGTAGGTGTTTGCTTGGAGAAGCTAATGACTCTGTAGTGAGCAGGGTGCATTTGAACGTCACTGGGCGTTCATAAACATTCGGAATCACAAATAACTTATTTACGTGTTGGCTCTTTTCAGAGAACGCCCCCCCCCCCTCCCTAAAGGGCGCCATCTGTCGGCGGCAGCGCCCTCCCATCACGCCCTGTCCGCCTACCCGCCCACCTTACTCATGTCAGCCCGCCAGCGCCGGCGGCGCAGAGTAGAGAAGCGCCTGGAGAGAGCGTATGTGAGGTCTCGGTGAAGAATGTGTTGCCTACACGCCAGGCGCTGCGCGACTGCTGGAACGTGCGCCCGACCATCATCTGGGCCAGCCGACAGCGCGAACAGTACAGGCAAGGTGCAAGGTGTTGGTTATATTTCCAATGTAGGAACACTTGTCGTTTTATTCATTAAAATTAACAGTCTGCGATACCACATGAGCCAAACATTAAATATTTGATCACAATTAAATACTTTAGAATTCCCAAATCGTCCGCGGATTTCATTTGGCAGCGGTGGTTTGTCATTTTTTGGTCCTTAACAATTCTTATAAATATAACAAAAACTCTTAACTCTAATTTTACTATTGAGGGAACACGTCCTCAAATGCGACCTTTTCAAATATCCTATTAGTGACATCAAGAAGTCGTTTGTTGAAGGCCTGAGAGATAGCGGGCTGGAGCTCCGCCATGATGACTCTGTCGTTTTCAGACACAATTGTGCTGAGCAGATCGGCTGTGGATCAAACAAAAAATAATTTTGTTAGACTAAGGACGACCTGACATGATACAACATTAAAGCAGCCACCAGTCGCGAACAAGTCTCACCCTGGACGGCGTGAGCGGGGTTTACGAATTTGAAGGTCGCCTTCTCTGGAATGATCTCAAAGGTGGTGGACTCAATGTGCAGGTGGTCCTTGCCGTCATCACCCTTCTTCAAACCTCCTTGCATGGACAGTCGGAGCAGCGGCTTTTCTGCAGAATTCATAGACAAATGTAAAGTTATTCACATCTGTGACAAACCAAATGGTTGATTCGCCTAGCCCCGTCCATATTCGTTTTGATGCGCGTTCGGACGGGTTTGCCTGTCGTGGCGCCTTAGAGCCCGAGCGAGTAGGCAACCCGTCCGTACGCGTGCATGCGGTGAGTCTATGGAAGTAGGTCAGGTGAGCAACCTGAAACCTGTAGTGCACTAAGCAGGTCATGAGGCTGAACAATAGGTACGTACGCATTTTGATGGTGGTCTTGCCGTTTCCGTTGATGGGGATGACCAGAACCCTGCCAGTCACCTTATACAGACTGTTGAGGTCGAGCTTGTCGGTCCTCATGGTGGCCACGATCTTGAACTTGTTCATATCAGTCCTGGTAGAAGTTTAAAATGACGCATTAGCTTTGAGATTATAAAAGGAATATCAGATGCGCACGAAAACATTTGATATTTGAACTTACTTGACGCTTTCCACTCTGGCGTTCTTGAATCCTACGAGTTCGGCTTCGGAGAGGGTCATGTCCAGGGACAGAGCACCGCCATTGCCCTTCTCAAGGTTCAGCTGGGACACCTTGAATGGGTCCAGTGGTGTAATGCCAAACTCGCTATTTCCTATAAGGATAATTCAGTCGAAGATATAAAATCGCTCTTAAGTTGTTTTGACGTTTAAAATTGTGAGTAAATTTGCTTTCAATTGTTCTTACCCTTTTCGAGTGCTGTCATGGCACGTTGCATGGCGCCGCGCAGGCACTCGTCAAACTTGGGGTCCGACCTCTTGCATGTTCCCCAGGACTCGGCTGCAACAAGTCATAGCAAAAACTCTGATTAGCATATCGCCGACAGTGATTGACTATACCTCCTCTCCGGTGCCGCTGTGAAGTGATGACCAAATAATTGGGTTCAATACATCGAGCTCGCGTGGAAAAAACAATTACCAAACTCTTTAGTTGGTGTTACTACTGTACCGGGTGTAACTGTGAATACGCATCAGTGTTGCTGGTTTGCCTACTCCTTACACCCGTAAGGGGCCCATGGACCCTGCGGCCATATTGAGTAGGCAATCCCGCAACACTGCTGCGTCTTCACAGTTACACCCGGTACGAGCGTCAACGGGAGAACCGGGGGGGGGGGGCAGGTTGACTTGTTCGGAGCATGCCTGAAGTGATTTGCTCATGCCGAGTAAGCCTCGTCTGTAACGCGAGACTCGGCGCAGCCCACAATGTTGCAAAACTATACGAAGCAATGCCGACGAGGGCCTTCTCCATCCAGCCAGCGAGCGAGCCGGGGCTCTACATGTTGACCCGGCGGGGCGGCCTATGGCTCTAGTTGTGCGCGGTCGCGAAAAAGAGGTCGCGCAAAGTGTTCAGAGCAGCAGGTCGACCTGCCGCGGTGGGACTGACTTCCCACGGGCGTAACGGCGCGCCGGTCGGAACAACCGTTGGACTGGATAGGATTAGAAGAAGATAATCGGGCTTCCACTTCTCACTACTGGGACTTAGTGGAGTCGGGCCGCGGGGGGGCCTGCTGCTGCACTCGACACTGGCCCAACGTGAGGTACTGCCCGGCTCAGACCCCCCC